CCTCCACCAGACTGAGTCCAGCATAACTAGATGGTGTCTGGCTACCACCACTGACTGCCCTGATAGGGATCACAATAGAGGGTCCTGGACAGAGCTGGAGAAAAATGTAGAACAAAATTCTAACTTACAAAAAAAGACCAGACTTCACTGGTCTGACAGAGACTGGGGAAACCCCGAGAGTATGGTCTCCAGGCACCTTTTAGCTCATTAATGAAGTCACTTCTGAGGTTCACCCTTCAGCTGAAGATTAGACAGGCCCATAAAACAAAACAAGACTAAAGAAGCACACCAGCCCAGGGGCAGGGACTAGAAGGTAAAAGGGGACAGGAAAGCTGGGAATAGGGAACCCAAGGTTGAGAAGGGAGAGTGTTGACATGTCATGGTGTTGGTAACCAATGTCAGAAAACAATACGTGTACTAATTGTTTAATGAGAAGCTAGTTTGTTCTGTAAACCTTTGTCTAAAGTACAATAATAGAAAAAGGAAAGAAAAAGGTGGGAAAAAAAGGAGAGAGAAGCGAGCATAGAGACATGGGGACCTCATACCACCAAGAAACAAGAGGCAGGAGAATAGCATGTCCTTTGGACATAGGGGCCTTGCACTGAGAAACTCCTTGACTAGGGGAAGATTGATAACAAGGACCTTCCTCCAGAGCCGACAGAGAGAGAACTGGAACTGACACTCTGAATTTGGACGTGTAGCCTACTAGACTGTGAGAATTTCTTTTTGTTAAAGCCATCCACTTGTGGTATTTCTGTTATAGCAACACTAGATGACTAAGACACATGCCCTGTGATTAAAGTCAATGAAAAACTACTACAGCAACGCAATTCTGACATGACTGCTAATGGCCCAGACCCTTCAGGAATGAAGGTTTGGGTCACCCCACCAGGCAAAGATCCACGACCAGCTGAGGTGCTTGCTGAGGACAAAGAGAATACAGAATGAGTGGTGGAAGAAGGTAGTTCTAAATACCAGTTACAACCACATGACCAGTTGCAGAAACAAGGACTATAATTGTTATGAGTATTTCTGCTTTGTATGTGTGCATCAAATATTTTTGTTTTCTTCACTCATAAAATATAAGATGTAAACAGGGCTAGCGCATTTTCGGTTGTATATGTGTTCATTGTATCATGTTAGGTACAAGTATGACTTTATAATTGTCTTTATTCAGAGATTATGTATGGTTTAAGAAGATGTATACAGGTGCCAAGTTGACAGGGGGTTGACCGTGATGGTTAAGGTTGTGTGTCAACTTGGCTGGCCCAAGATTCTCAGGGGTTTGGCAGTCGTATGATGTTATGATCACTTCCATGATGAGATTTGATATAATGTGATCACCAACATGACGGGAACTGCTGTTAATAGCCAATCAGTTGAAAGGGAGTTTCCTTGGGTGTGTGGGCTGCATCGAATATAAGTAGACATTCTGGCAAGGCTCGTGGGCTTTTGCTCATGGTAAATCCTGCAGCTGGCTTCTGTTTGTCTGACCGCTGGTTCTTGGCACTTGAACTAGCAGCTTACCTGCAGTCTTGACTGCTGATTTTGGGATTCATTGATCTCTGCAACCTGTGAGCAAGAGCCCTGCTCTCTGACCTGCCAATCTTGGGTTCACTAGCCCCTGTGGCTTCATGAATCAGGAGAAGCCTCTATTCTGATCCATGGACCTGGGACTTGCCAGCCTCTACGATCTCGTGAGCCATTTTCTTGACATAAATCTCTATATATATATTTACAAGCTTTACTACTGGTTTTACTTCTCTACAGCAACCAGCCTAAGACAATATATATATATTTAGAGGACATTTATCTCAAGGAAATGGCTCATACAGTTGTGGAGTCTGGCAAATCCCAAGTCCATGGTTCAGGCATCAGGCTAGAGGCTTCTCCTGACTCACATAGCTGCTGATGAACTCAAGATCAGCAGGTCAGATGGCAGGCCACTGGCTCAAGTCCCAAGAACCGGAGGTCAGATGATGATGAGCCGGATGAAGGATCCAGAGCAAGCAAAAGCCAGCAAGCTTTGCCAGAACGTCCATATATATTGCATGCAGGCTACACCCCTGAGGAAACTCCCCTTACAACTAATTGACTGATCACATCAGACCACATCATGGAAGTGATTACATTATATCATAAAGTAGAGGATAACTACATCATTGCATAACTGCCAAACTACATCATTATATAATTGCCAAACCACTGAGAATTATGGCCCAGCCAAGTGAACACACAACCTTAACCATCACAGACCTCTGGTAGAAAAGACAAACAGACAACAGGAACAGCAAAAATGCTTACAATAGCTCATGTATGGTGACAAAGTTACACCTAGGGTGACATGAGAACCAGGAGCTTAAAGAAAAGTTTCCTTTCCCAGAGCAAGTGACTTCTGACATCCAAATTTGAGTTAGCTGGGCCAGGTGAAGGAGAGAGTGGAATGTGAGTTCGGAGGAAGGAAACAGGAACCAGACCTTCAAGGCAAAGGAAGCAGCAGGTGCACATAGATGGGGAGGAGAGGGAGGGTGGCCTGTTCGGGGAACTGCAAAGAATCCAGAATGGCTCAAGTGCAGGCATGAAATGGAGGACTGGAGAGAGCTGGAGCTGGAGAAGTGAGCTGGGGCTGTGCTTTGGTGGGCTGAGTGTGCTGTGTATGCTAGGCTAGTGAACTAGGATTTTATCCTGGGGGTACTGGAGAAGCATGGTGGGATTTTAAGCATTAGAGTAACACAATGAGATGGGTGCTTTAGAAAGCACAGGTGGCAGTGGATTGGATAGGATGGGAATGGGGCAAGCAGGATTAGCTAGGAGGCAGGTGCAGCAATCTCCAGGAGGAAGAGTGAGGGATCTAACGCAGTGACAGAGAGAATGGCGATAAGGAGTCAGTGTGAGAAAGATGCAAAGGAGAGGAATGATAGGCTGATTGGATATGGCCCTGAGAGAGGGGACATGTCCAGGTGACTCCCAGGTTTCTGAGGGATTGGTAATATTCACTGAAACGGGGCACCCAGGGGAGACAAGTTTGGGAGAAAGATGTTGAGTTCAATTCTGTAGGTGTTGCCTTGGTGGTAACTGTGGGACATCTAAGTGGAGCTGAACAATAGGCAGTAGGGTAAAGAGTTCTGGATTGAAGATGTATATCTGGAAGTCTCCCTATCCATGAGGTGGTTGAAGCCATGGGAGGAATGAACTCATCCAGGGAATGTGAGAGTAGCAGAGGCAGAAACTAGAACACTGAAGAATAGTACTGTCTCTCTCTCTCTCTCACACACACACACACACACAAGGAGCAGAGAGAGAAAGCAGAACTAAGAAGTAACAGCTAGAGGCAGGATGAAAACCAGAAGGGGCTGGAAATGAAAACCAGAAGGGGCTGGATACACCGAGGAAGGAGAGGGCCTTTGAGGGAGTCAGAATCATGGTGCCAGGCTGCAGAGATCAAATAAGGTCAGGCCTGGAAAGGATCCACTTGACCTAGCCAAAGATCATGGTTTACCCACAAGGGTAGTTTCAGTGTGTGCCTGAGACAGAGGCCTGACTGCAGCGGGCAGAAGAGGGATGGAAAGAAGTAGAGATAGTAAATGTTGACTCATGAAAAAGTCTGGCTCTCAGGCAAGGTAGTAGGGTGGGAAGCTAGGTAGAAATAATGAGAGAGAAGCTGGGGTCAGAGGAGAGGGGATAGTAGAATGGTTCAGGTCTATAAAGCACAGGCAAGGGTTGGGTCCAAGGAGGAAGGATTATTCTTGAGTAAAAGGAACTTCCCTTTCTCTGAGGTGGAAGGAAAGTAGAGATAACCGTGTAGACACTGGCATTTGTGCTTGGCAGTCTTGGCTTTCTCAATGGAAGACAATCGTAACCTTCTGCTGATGCAGATGAGAAAGGGTAAGTAGGCTCTGAGGAGAGCGGGAGGAGAGCTGCCCAGGCCCACATCAAAAGATAGCTGAGCCTACACTTACATCATATATGTAGTTTTGGTTTGTTTCTTTTTCATTTTTCATCTCTCTTGGTGACTAGCAGTGTCTGCCACATACTGTTCAATTAAATTTAAATCAAGGTGAATCACACAGCACATTGCCATCTTGAGGGGAAGAAGGGTTACAACATCGGATAGATTGAATGAGATTCCTACTAGGCTGTAATTTTACTCACTGGAATTCAGTCATCGATTCAACCAATATTTCTTTTTTAACATCTTCCATGTGTGAGGCCACTGTGCTAGGTACTGGGGATACAGTGGTGAACAATATGGCATTTTACGTGTAATGAAGACATCAGTTGTGTGCTTCTTGCGTTCATGCTTGTGGGGTTTTAGAGGCCTTTTAAAGCCCAGTGGGCTTTTTCTTTGACTTTCCTGCAGTCATCAATGACCCTTCCTTCCCTGTTGAAATTCTTTTTCTCCCCTACTTAGACATTGCACTCTCCCAGTCCTCTTGTCTCTGGCTGCCCCTCTTCGGGTCCTCTCCCTTCCCCTCCCACCCCCAAGTATAATATTGTGCAATCCTTACAAACTTGCTCTTCCCTGTTGGTCAAACTTCCTTTTTCAGACTTCAACTACTGCATCATGTGAATGGCCCCCAAGTCTGTACTATTTGTTCTGGCTCTCCCCCAACACTTCCAGCTTTCTACCAATTTAATTGCGTTAGGATGTCTCACCTTTTCTTCAACTCAGCATGTCTGAGTTAGTTCATCATCTTTTCTACCTGCTCCCCACCCTCGCCCCCTTGTTCCACACTACCCCTTTCCCTGTATTCCTGGCCCATTTACTAGTTCTGAGATTGAAAACTCAGTAGAATCGAAGGATTGGGGAGTCTTGCCTCATATTGTTCTTCTCTTTGCAGATTCCCCTCTGAGATTTAAATAGGATGAAATAAGGGGGTGGATTTCATTGAAGTTACCAAATCAGCAAAGCCTCCTGTAACCAGCTCCTGGATGTGGTTTCTCTTTTGCAGAAATCCCAATATAAGAACCCGACTCACCTTGCTCAGCAACAGGAACCCTGGAATCGGCTCAGTTCAACTCCCACAATCACCTCCATGAGGCGGGATGCCTATTTTTTTGATCCCAAGGTAACTAGCATTGACATGCTATTCATCTTTACATACGCTTAGGACTCATTAATATTCTTTTTGGAAGGTAGTCCGTCCCTGACTTCTTTGGCATCTTTCCTTTTGTCCCCAGTCCAAGACCCTACCAAATCCAAAACCAATTTATCTGGCCTCTGGGAAGTCAGAAGGCTTGGGTTTTGCTCCAGGCAGTTATCTGGAACGAATTATCTCCTCACCAGACGTCTCACTCTTTTGATTAAAACAAAGGCTGACTATAACCATGAATGAGGTATGGTCCATTAAGCCCAAGTCAGGGACAGTATGACTCCCATGTCTCCAGTGAGAGCTCACCACTCCTTAGACCAAAAGAGAGACAACTCTGAATTTTCAAGAATTAAGAGGTCACTATGTAAAACAATTTAGTGTGTATGGAGTTGGTGGAACTCAGCCCCAATAGGGTTTTCAGTATGCTTTGGGGGGAAGAGTAGCCCTGGGGGGATTTACTTCCTCTGTAGATACCCTGGGTGGCATAAATGGTAAATGCTTGGCTGCTAATCGGAAGGTTAGCTGTTTGAGTCCACCCAGAGGCGCCTTGAAAGGCCTGGCAATCTACTTCTGAAAAATCAGCTGTTGAAAACCCAGTGGAGCACAGCTCTACTCTGACACACATGAGGTTGCCTTAAGTCGGGGTCAACTCCATGGCAACTGGTTTGGTTTTTGGTTTGGTAGATACCAAAGGATGACCTGGATTTCCGTTTAGCAGCCTTGTACAACCACCACACTGGAGCATTCAAGAACAAAAATGAGATACTGGAACACCAAGAGACGGTTCAGGATACCCATGGGTAAGTGGTAGAGGCTGAGCCTTTCCACGCTGAGTACACTGCCATCCGATCACATAAGGTAAAGTGTTACCCGGGAAATAACAAAGACAATAAATAGGTACCGGGAGCCCTGGTGGCACAGTGGTTAAGTTTGGCTGCTAACCAAAAGGTTGGCAGTTCGAATCCACCAGCTGCTCCTTGGAAACCCTATGGGGCAGTTCTACTCTGTCCTATAGGGTTGCTATGAGTTGGAATCATCTTGACAGCAGTGGGTTTGGTTTTCTGTTTTGTAGACAAATTTCTGTTTTTTTTTTAAACATCTGTATCTGTAATGCAATTTCTGTATTTTTATTGTCTACAATAAACAGAAATCCTTCACGATCACGCTCACCTGTATAAACAAATAAACCTTCAGTTAATTCCACAAAGGGAAAAGGGCCCTTTAGCTGCTTTAGTTTTGAGGTTGCACACAACTACCTTTCCCTTCTCATCTTTCTCTGATTTCACCCTCCCCTCTTCTTCCCCAACCATCTTCTAGAATCACCAAGATCCCGGAAGAATTTTTACCACCTCCCCCACCACCTCCTATCACATCACTGGCTAACATTAGACACTGGATCAACCCCAAGAAGGAGTCCATCCACAGCATCCAGGGTTCCATAGGTAAGCATTACAAGACTGGGCGGGCAGATGGTGGTGCAAGACCCATTTGCTGTAGAGTCGATTCAGACTCATAGCGACCCTATAGGACAGAGTAGAACTGCCCCATAGCGTTTTGAAGTCTGTAATCTTTATGGAAGCAGACTGCCACATCTTTCTCCCATACAGCAGCTCATGGGTTCAAACCACTGACCTTTCAATTAGCAGCCGAGTGCTTAACCACTGCACCACCAGAGCTCCTTGGTGGTGCTTCTAAATAGACCCAAGAATCAGGGAGTTGAGGTCACTGGCTGGTAGGGAACATCAGGGACAACTTAAGAGTCTTGTAACAGTAGTGACTAAGTTGGAACATCTCAGACTAATACCAGGGGACATGCTGACTACAGAGCTAGGAAATGAATTCAATTTTTCAGAGCCTTTTAGCTCAGCTTTAGATCTAGGGGACAGAAACTTCCAGCAAGGGCAGGCAAAGGGCAGAAACCCAGGAGTGGAAGACCTGTAGCTGCCTCTCATCAGTCCTCCATATGCTAGTTTCCCCAGCTGTTATAAGAACTTTCTCCACAGTGCCCATAAGTATATGGGTGATTAAAGGTTCCTGGAAAAGGTAAACTGTCTGAAACTCATAGTCCCTTCTTACTGCTTTCTCTTCTCTCCAGTGTCCCCTCACACTGCAGCCACCAATGGAGGTTACTCCCGAAAGAACGATGGTGGCTTCTTCTCCACCTAGTATTGACAAGCTTCTGGATTAATCACAGTGGAACATCCTGCCACCCACCTCCATTAAATAGATTTGTGCAAGATGAAACCTGATGTGTCTGTTACCCATGGACTACGAGTTGCCACTTAACCAAACATGGGAGGGAAATTTCTCAGCTTCTAGAAACTAGTCCTGTTGAGTGTATTTGCAACCTGGAAAGCTATTTTGCTGAGAAGCATTAGGACAGAGCAGCTGTCTTTGGTAGGAGGTAAGTACTCATGTTTTGTAAAATAGTCACTCTGAACATATAGATTCATTCATTCAACATTTATTGCAAGCTTAGGTGTTTCAGACATTGAGCTAAGTGTTCGGGAAACAATAATGAACATAGCCTTTCTCTTAAGGAGCTTACACACACACTTAATTTTTTGTAGCTCTAAGAAGCAGTAATATTTATGCCAAAGCCACGCTGCAGATTTCGGATGTCCCGGGTTCAGTCATCTGCTGGGCTCTGCTGTTCCACCAGGGCTCCATCTTCCTTGTCCCGGTTCCTTCTCATTGTTCATTCTCTAACTCTGCTGCCTCCTGTTCTAGGAGTCAAATTCCTGTCAATTTGAATTAATCCATAGCTCCAGTTCTTATAAACATGGTTCAACAATCTCGCGTTTGCATTTGGAGGTATCTAATTGATGTGTTAATGTAGTTTCTAAAATTACAATTCACTCACAGGAAACTGCTGTGCCATAAAAAAATGGTTAGGCAAGAAATGGCAGACCCTTTAGAATACTGTACAACAAATTCCCATTTATAGTAAGTTCGGACAGGATATGTATTAAGAAATTCAGGTAAGAGTTTCTTCCTGGTACTCAGGTGCAAAGTCCTTAAAATACCACAAATCTGTCATAGCTCCTCTTCCGCTGGGGCACTTTCCAAGCCATTCAAATAGTATCTACTGCCAAGTGGCAATATGAAGTTTCAGTTCTCATTACTTAGAATGGCCGAAGGTGCTGGACTGTCGCTCTGAATAATCACCTCATGCAGACTATTTGAGATACTCATAAAAAAAAATTAGCACTGCAATCCATGCCTTGAGACTTTAAAAAATAGATTCCTAGGCCTCCCAGGTGATTTTTAAATTAGTAAATCTGGGGCTGATCCCCGGCATCTGAATTGTAAAAAGCTCTCTCAAGTTCTTGTACATATACACATGTACATATCGTGTATGCTTTGGCGGCAGACGCTGCAGTGCCTTTGGCCCTAGGGACCACCAGTGTTGGTACCATGCAAGAGTCATCTTGATGAGCCGGGCCTAAAGAAAAAAGAGAGGGGGCTAGGAGCGAACAGTGTCTCTCTCCAGCCCCAGCTCCCACGGGCGGGGCGACGGCTCCTTCATCCTCCACCTCCGTCTGTCCGCATTCAAGGCCGCAGCCGACCGTTAGCGCGCGCGCCTCCAGCCACAGGTAGCCGGTCACCGAGTCCTGGGGCCGGGCTCAGATCAGAATCGCCTGGATAATCAGCGGCCCGGGACAAGCCCGGCCTCGTCTATCTGATCAGTTCATCATTTCTGAGCGCCGGGCCCCGTCGGACCGGCTCCGGGACCTCGGAGACCACAGCGCTGCCACCGCCCAAGGGCCTCGCTGCACAGCGCCCCGGGGGGCTTCGCAGGAGGGGATCTTTTCATTTCGGGTTGGCCTGGCGGGGCTGGGGTCACGACCCGATCAAATAAGATCAAGGTGTAGGCGGGGAGAGGGGCGCAGAAGCGGGTGCACGCACTCCTCACGCACACCCACTCACACTCCTGCATCCACTCACACACTCGACACGCACGCGACTTCCACGCGACACAGCAGCACAATACACACAAACCTCACCCCACGCCGCTCTCCCTCCCGTAAAGGAGCGGAAGTCCACCCTTGTTTTAAACCCTCTGCCCCCTCCCCGCCGGAGGATTCTGGGAAGAACCACCGAGCACTGGCGGGCAAGTCGAGGGAGCGCTTTGCCGCCCCCGCGTGGATCGGAGGAGAACCTAGGTTCCACGGGACGGAGGAACAAATTCCCACAATACTGAATCGCCGTGGTTGTCTTTGGGTTTTTCTGTGTAGCTACATATTCATATCCATATCCATAGCTTTTATTTGATCTCGATTTTATTTTTATTCGTCTTAAATTTAAAATATCCAGATTCTGGTATGAGATCTTTCAATCTCAAGAGATTTATAGGCGAACGGCTTCTTTCCCATGAAGACGGCAAACCAGTAAGAGAATTAGTTCCCTTAGGAGTTTCTCCTCCCAAGGGAGAAGGCAAACATCTTTTTATAAAAGGGAAAGGTGAGGGATAGGTTATTTAAACCCAAGGTCTAGGTGATCAGGATATCTGTGAAATGGGTAAAGGTAGGCAAGCATATCGTTCTGTTCTCACAGAGCCCTACAGCTGCCCAAAACTTGGTAACTGTGGTAGTCAAATTGGATTGCCAGGATACATATGATTTTCATACCGATTAAAACATATCTGATTCAAGCCCCAAAATTAGTAAAAAAATAGTGGTGAGTACTTAGCTCGTATTAGCCAGCACATTATGAGCTCCTTCCTCCTCCTTTTTCAGTTAAATATGGAGAATGAACCAGAATTGCCCTATTTTGGAGATTACTAGAAAATGAAATGTGAAATTATAATTTGTACTTGTGCCAGTGTCAGTATGCATGTGGAATAAACAAATATGGGGGAAATTACCTGTTGTACGGGGCCAGACATCCCATTGGCTCAAGGCTTTTGTGTGTGCCTGGCTGGTTAACCTGATAAACTCATTTGAATGAAGTTTCTGGCTGGTGATGGCAGATATTTGTGGTAAATAAAATGTATTGGGGGGGGAGGGGTTAATAGTAGTGGTAGGTAAAATCCTTACCTAATACACCTCAAAACTTATATACACGTGTGTGTGTGTGTGTGTGTGTGTGTGTGTGTGTGTGTGTGTGTGTGTGTGTGTGTGTGTATCAGCTCCCGCTACGGCAAAAGCCAGGCCACACAGATTCTGAACCATACAATATATTCAGTGACCACAAGGGGGTAACAGGAATACTGGCATTCACTAACGTGAACTGAAAAGGTAGGCTATGGGCAGAACTGAGGGGAGTATTCAACAAGATTCAACAAATTCAGCATGTGACAAACAAAATGGACAAATATTGTAGGGAAAAATTTTATTTTCAAGGATTTATGCAGACAATGGTGAATAAAAAATTGTATTTCAACTATAAAAAAGGAGCTGACTTCATTCCACCTGGCATACGGGGTTTATGGTGATGCCTGTTTGAATCTGAGGCAATATTGCTATCCCCAGTCCTTCACCCCTAAAAGACTCCCCCAGAGAACAACTTCCTACAATTTTTAGTCAAAAATGTATACGACACATCAACCAAAGTAACCAATTAAACAAGTTTCTGCTTATCTGCTTACATAAAGTCAAGAAATGAAATAAGCTGTGTGTTTGTCTCTTGCTGAAAATTCTCTTCACCCTGCACACTTTTTGGTACCTTCTGGTATGAAAACATTTCAAAATACAACAATACAAGAGTTTAGGTCAAGATGACCCACCCAGAAGGCTGTAAAAATTGGTATGAACTAGAACTGTGAAATGCAACTAGTTTAAAATATGAAGCAGCTCTAAGTGTTAAGCTTAGAGACATTAGCCCTATTAGAAAATAAAATTCATTAAAGCTACAAAATAACAAGTGCAAAACATGCTGAACCTGTATTTCCAGGGAGTAATTTTCCCTTTGGTCAACAGGTTCCACACTCACACCCACAAGGTGTAACTCTTTTTTCTGGTTCCACTAGATTTCCGTACTCATATGAAAGATCCTCAGAAACGACCATGGGAAACAGACTGAAAATTTACCCTGTGGACCAATTCCTGAAGAGATAACAGCGACAACTCTGAGATGAGTACACATGTAGTGTTTACTGGATGACTTTCTACTTCTAGAAACTCTCAAAGCACTAAATTGCGTATTTCAGAACCTAAACTTCCCAGCAGCTTTTGTTCTTTTGGAGTAGGTCAACAAAAGACATACTTCACTGTCACACAGGGGTCAACCACAGCTAACCTGTCCACAGATAATTCAGGGATAAGTTCCCTTTGTTTTTACCTTTGTGGGCAATTTAACTGGTAGACCTATGTCTATGCTTCTTTTTACAACTGCTTAATTTTTAAACCTACTCTTTTTTTTTAATAGAGAAGGTCTAGGCTTTATAAATATTTAACAGTTGATGCTTTTACAGATATTAGTAGGAGGGAATAGAGAGGACTTCCCTTCAAATGTTGGGTCATCAAAAATGAATTGCTCAGGACTTACCATAGCCCATGAAAAAGTCCATCAATCTCAACTGCAAACCTGTTTTCCTTCAGAAAACATGAAAATACCCTCATTTTATTCATGGATTCTATGACCTGTCCAAACAAGCCTATGAATATCAGCAACCTCTCTCACTCATTCAAATTCTTCATGTTCTCATAGTAAATAGAGTTTCTAAGAACAGCTGAAGAGCACTGAACATAAAGAAAGTTAAGAGTTGGCCAGGATAAACAAGTAATGAACTAAAAATTGCTATAACGATCCACACATAACAAAGAAAAAGTTTGCATCTTAGATAACATGATGAAACGTCCATCTAACATGATTCTTATACTAGATGAACTTACTAGTATATGAATTAACACACTAGATTTATTTCTTCCACCTTAACTGCAAATATATTAAACAATTATTTCTTCAATAGCTTCTCTTTCCCTTAGTGGAGGCATTTAAAACTGCTTGAGTAACAGTACTTAGCGCTAAGTAATTTAGAAAATATAAAAAGGCTTTAGGAAAATAGCAACAGTTGATTCATTCTCCATGTATCATTTGATCGGGTGAAGTCTCCATTTGAGGATATTGGTGAACAGGAAAATTTTTCTTGTTTAAGTCACCATTTTCTGATCTCACCACAGACAGGTTATAATTTCTCAAACCTTATGTAGGCCCAGATTCTCCTGGCAAACTTCCCAAGCTACCAGCACACATTTCATCTGTTCTCTTTTTGCAATGAAGGCCATGTCTCTCTATGTTCCCAGATGGGTATATGAAAGATTAACTTCCAAAGCCAAACAATTTCTTGGCATTGCACCCAGGCCTCCCCCAAGTTCCCAATTTGCCAAATCCAAATCGAACAGGAAAAAAAGCCAAGTCTCGAAAATTATCCCCTTCCAGGAGGTCTGAACACAGCCTATGTTCTTCCCTACTGAGTCTCAGTTTGAAAAGATCCCGAGGGGCTGAAGAACAAAATAAGTAACATGTTTTTAAGCAGGAGGTATGTAATCTTATCTTGCAATTTATCTGGACATCATACGCTCTCTACCAAGGACTGATTTACACATAAATCAAAGGAAGTTGGCTTTCTGGAGTCCCCTGAAGCATAAACAATGTTTGTGACCATAAGGAGTTGTTTTCCCCACATGTGGTAGGGGCGGATGCTGTGGTGTCATCCTGGGGACTTTGATGATTTTAGCTGAACTCTGCTATGCTGGGCCCGGGACCCCGACAGGTTCTTCACCCGCATCCCCTTGATTGGCAGTTGATGAGCTGGACGCTTTGGAATTCATTTTATAAACAGGACGTAAAAGGCCATTACAACACAGGCGACCGCCACTGCCACATGCAGCCTGGTTCCAATCACAGCGGCTGGGGGGCAAAAATAAAAAGAGAAAAAATATCACACTCTGCCCTTCGTAAAAGTCTTTACCTTCAAGGTAACACTTTTAAATCTCAAGTCACAGATGAAGGGCCTCAAGGACCTGGGGATGTATTTAAATGCTATTCTGAAGCACTAGGTTCTAGGTTCAAAATCTTTTGAAAAAGATTTAGGTAGGTAGGATTCCAGATGAAGGTACCCAAAATGAAAAGCAGAAAGGCATCTGATTTAATTAAGTCAAAACTTTAAAAAGATTCCAATTTCTTTCCAGAAAATCAGAAAAACTTTTCATTGGGTAAATATTCCTCCCAGCACATTCCAACCCAGAGTAAAATTGTTTATACTTTTACTCCATGGAGAATAGTAAAATCACCTAGATACTAAAATAAAGAATTATGTTTTTAAAATAACAGCAAATTTTAACATTTACCTTTTCCCCTCAACTTTAGAAAATCATTATTTTACAGACTCTCAGGCTCAATCTCAGGGATCTTCTTCAAATGGTGAAGCAAATACAATGCTAATCCATCCCCATCCCCCACTCTGTAGTGTCTCACTGTCCAAAGATGGAAATCTCCTCTCCCTGTTGAGATATGAACTTACCTTTGTAAAACACACCCCAAACTCCTTTCTTCTCCGATAGCAGCCAGGATTTAAGACGAGGTACTTTCTTGAAGTAGGCACAGGTACAAACAAAGAGCAAACCAAACACCAGAATCCCATCCAAAGAGTACACTGTTACAGAAAGAGGAAAAGAAAACCTTTGGCACTGATCTAGCCTGGGACTGAGCCCACCTGAGAACTCTAAGGAGGATACAGTGTGATACAATATCAAGATGATAACCTCAACTAGCAGTGCCACCCCTTGATAAGAGGGAGCCAAGGTCGTGGCACTAACAAGGTTACCTTACTGTTCTCCAAAATTGCTTGTAGACATCTCTCTTGCACCAATTTCAGTTGTCCCTTCCCTCCTCTTTCAAGAACTACAAATTCTGGTAGTTTCTGTGGAATCAACTTGCCAGGAGTGGCTAGTGTCGGCAGTAGGTTGAGAGAGCTATCAGAATCTTTGCAGGCTGAGCAGGGAGAATTATACATGTTCTTATTATAAATCACTCAAGTGATTTAAAAAAAAAAAAAAAAAAGGAGCTACTAGATATTCAGCCAAGTTCATAGGATCTGCATCTGTTGGTGAAGAATATGTTAAGGCAAAAAGTAAAGTTTATCAAAAATTGCAGGAGTTAGGATCCATATGACTGCAATTTTCCTATACTTACACTTCATGCACAATACTCATAAATGAAAATTTCTGCCAGAATAACACAGATTCTTTTTTTTTTTTAAAAAGTATCTGAAGCTTTGACATAGTGGAGACATTTGAACTCTTAGTTCTATTTCTTACATACGTAAACCAAGCTATTTCTCGTACATGGAAGCACAGTATCTACCAAAAAAAAGATATCTGACCACAAAAAAAAGGGGAAGATACTAATATTTATTGAGCAATTGCCACGTGTCAAACCACTCTTATTTCCTGGTTCAGATTATTTATTCCTCTGGGTAATGTCTCTTCTCTTACTGTGCCTAATATCCTCAAACTTTTGATGGCCCAGGAAACTCCAATAGGACGTTTTATAGAACCAGTATCTGCCAATTCTGGACCATTCTATCTCCCTCTCTCCCTCTAGTAAACTACCCCACGGTTAGGTGTCGGAAGAAAGGGCCCAGTAAATTAAAGCATACACTAAGTTGTTTATGATCCACGACATCTTTTGTGGTACTCTTTTCCTCCCATAAGTTTTTGCAAGCAGTGCCAAAATTCACAAGGACGTGAAATTTGAGTCTTCAGTGCCTGGCCTATGGAGAAGGTACTTTTGAAGAGAGAATTGCTTTCCTGTGCCCTCAAATCATACTGCCTAAAAGGCCTTCTCTTTCCCTTTCCTGAAAGGTTGACTCTAAACTAAAGACCATAAAGGCCCTGCTTCCTGCCCTTCCTGGAATTTGGAAATCATGTCTATAAAGTGTTTGAAGCGGCCTGGAAAATTAGGTCAGATAAACAGGGTGGCAACTGCTAAACCATTCAGAAGAGGCAGTGTCTAAATCCAAGCCTTGCAACACTAGCCAGCGTCTCTAGATAAGATCGATCACCCAGCCAGTACTATAGAATTAAAGAAGAAAAGCCTCCGCGGTATTTTTTTCAAAAAGAGAATTTCCTTTTAGGGTCTACATTCATCCTCTAAAATTGCGGAGCCTGAAATTCTCTGACTTTTACGTGCTCCCAACGACTCGACTGTCCGAAAGTATGAGAATTTAGGGAACTGGGGGAGGGTACTCTTTTCTCTGGTGTTAGCGCAGCAGTCCTACCAGGACAGGCCTCCGACAGAGAATCCTAACGGCCAAAACGAACTTCTAGGACCGGGAGGAGAATGGAAAGCACAGGATCGGGACCGAGGACTCAGGGTGTGGGCATGTGAGGAACTGGGAGTCCTAGATGGGCACGCCACGGGGGAACCCGTGGAGAGGTATAGGGGGTAGGAGTTAAGGGCGCCGAGAGGCCACGGTGGGGGCCCAACCGGGAGGGGGCGGGGAGAACGGACACGTCAGTCCCGGCCCCGCCCGCCACGTTTCACCTCGTCCCTCACTCCCACTCTCCGCGCTGGACACCGACTCTCACCGTTCGTCATGGCGGCTGGGCCCAGGCCTGTTAGGGGCTCTGGGGTCAGCAGTGGTAGCCACGAAGCGAAAGCGGGGGAAGCCGGCTCCGGCTTGACACTTCCCGATCCGGGCCGCGGCGAGGGGCAAGAGCCGTAGGACGCAGGCGCAAGGACCGAGAGGCGAGCGCTGGACGCAATCAGGAGTGGCTAGCCGATTGCCGAGCCAGAGGGCCCTACATAGGTGGTGCTTGCGTGCGTACGTATGCAGAGCGCGGTCCGGTGGCGTCCTACGTGGCCACGGTAACCGGGAGGGTTTTTTTTGTTTTTTGTTCTTAGTGCCCCTGCAAAGTTGATGTTGGAGCGTAACCAGACACTCTCCCATCTGTTTGAGAAGGCCGAGGCTTGCGGTTTTGCGGCGGCTGATGGTGTCTGTGTGTGCGTGGTTTTGCGGCGGCTGATGGTGTCTGTGTGTGCGTGGTTTTGCGGCGACTGTGTGTGTGTGTAGTTTTGCGGCGGCTGGTGTGTGCGTGTTCCAGCACTAGAGAGCAAGAGGCAGCCCTGATGGAAATCGGGATAGTATGGATTTTTAAAATGAAATAAGGAACTTTAGAACCAAAACAAGCCGCATATTTCAGATCCTAAAGCTCCACGTTGTCGGAAAGCATTCAGATAATTGCCTGTTTGTATTTTTCTTTCCCTTCAACTATCAGAGAATTTTCCATTATCTCCTGTATTTGATTCATGCTGGGTTCACTTTAACAAGAAATCGGCACTATCTGGACATCGCTTCTCCGAAGATACTCACATCGTCAGCCTAATGGTAGGGGTGGTGTGGAGGAGACTGAGCCACAGATTCAATTTTGTAAATTGGAATCCTTAATTGTACAACAATTCAGCCTGCTTTATTAGGATCCATGTGAAAGCGCGACTTTTGTGTGGAGTCCTCTGAGGGTGTCTAAAGTTACAAGTCCGCAGCCTTGTCGAGAACTGAAAGGGACTCACTGCCTCTTGCTTCAGCGCCATTTGCTGGCTGAGGCCTGATTCGTTATGCTTAAGAGGAAGAGGTGCCAAAGCTGCCCTCTAGGAACAGTAGAGAGGCAAGCCAAAAAAAGTCAGATGCAGGGTAGATTCCTTGTGAAAATATATATAAATATACATAAATGCAGAAATAAAAAAAAAAAGGGAAAATCGGAAGCAATCAGTATGTCCTTTAATAGGTAAATGAATAAACTGTGGAATATCCCTACAATGGAATATTAGTCAGCAATAAGAGCTATCAAGCCACAAAAAGAGAAAGCTTAGATGCATACTGTTAAATGAAAGAAGTCAGTCTGAAAAAGCTACATACTGTATGATTCTAACTATATACCATTCTGGAAAAGGCAAAACTGTAGAGACAGTAGAAAGATCAGTGGTTGCCAGGAGTTTAGGGAGGGCAGAGGCCGTAAGTAGAGCACAGAGGATTTTTAGGGCAGCCAAACTATTCTGTATGGTACTATAATGGTGGCTACATGACATTATGCGTTTGTCAAAACCCAAGGAACTGCACAACACAAAGAGTGAAACTTAACGTAAACTATGGACTGTAGTTAATAATAATGCATCAATAATAATAAACCAATGTTCATCAACTAACAAATGTACCACAGGAAGGCGAGATGTTAAGAACAGAGGAAACTGGACAGGGGGAGAAGGAGTATATAGGAGCTCTATACTTTCTGTTCAATTTTTCTGTAAACCTAAAACTGCTCTAAAAAATAAAGTTAATTAAAACAAACATACAACAGAAAACAAATGGAAGAAATATGTGACAAAACCTAAGACATGGCCAGCCAACCTTTTGGGTTACATGTGCATGTACATATATACACAAATCCCCATGCCCAAAAGAACTGCTGAGGACATCTAAAAAAACAAAGAACACCCTAGTTGTCTTGGCCTTTGAACCTTTTGTCAGTCATACTGTAAAACACAGTAGCACTAGTTTCATCACTAGCAACTGGCTGCTTCCTGCACCAAGGCTGAATGAAGGCACAAAACCATTCCAACCAGGTCTTAACAAATTCATGTTCCCTGATTTGTACTCAACCATATAACTCATCTCCATTTAAAAAAAAAAAACAAAAGAACTACACTATCCTCACTGACTTGCTCCTAATTGATCATTATTTTTAACCAGGTTGTTCTTCCAACTAAATATAGACATTCCTAAGACACCACCTCCCTTTTTCTACTCATTAGTAACTCTCACTTGGTGGACCTATTCTATTCCATGCTTCAACTGTCATCTCTATGCAGAGTTCTTTTTTTGTGGTAAAAAGATTATGTATGTGTGTGTGTGTGTGTGTGTATATATATATATATATGTATATATATATATATATAGCCAAAAACCAAACCAAACCCACTGCCATCAAGTCGATTCAGACTCATAGCGACCCTATAGGACAGAGTAGAACTGCCCCATAGGGTTTCTGCCCAGATTCAACGTGGGGGCAGATATAGACCTCGCCCCTCAAGGAATGTGAAAGAATTAGCAGCCACACTAGTCGCTGACGTTGTTAGGTGCCATAAAGCCGGCTCCGACTCATAGCGACCCTAAGTACAACAGAACAAAACACTGCCAGGTTCTGCGGCATCCTCACAATTGTTGCTATGTTTGAGCCCATTGTTGCAGCCACTATGTCAATCCATCTCATTGAGGGTCTTGCTGTTTTTTGCTGACCCTCTACTTTACCAAGCATAATGACCTTCTCAGGACTGGTCCCTCCTGATAACATGTCCAAAGTACATGAGACAAACTATTGCCATCCTTGCTTCCAAGGAGCACTCTGGCTGTATATCTTGTTCTTCTGGCAGTCCATGGTATGTTCAATATTCCTTGCCAATACCATGATTCAAAGGCATCAATTCCTCAGTCTTCCTTATTCATTGTCCAGTTTTCACACACATATGATTGAAAATATCATGGCTTGTGTCAGGCGCACCTTAGTCCTCAATGTATAGAGTTCTTTCTATACGTTTGCCAGTTCTAGGTGGGATCATACAGTATTTGTCCTTTTGTGGCTGACATTTCACTTAGCATAATGTTTTCAAGGTTCATCCATGTCATAGCATGTATCAGAACCTTATTTCCTGTTATGTCTGAGTAATATTCCATTGTATGTATATATCACGTTTTGTTTATCCATTCATCTGTTGATAGACATTTAGGTTATTTCCAACTTTTGGTTATTCTGAATAGTACTGCTATGAACATTGGTGTACAAGTATCTGTTTGTGTTCTTGCATTCAATTCTTTTGGGTATATACCTAGGAGTGGAATTGTTGGGTCATATGATAACTCTATGTTTACCTTTTTGAGGAATTTATGCAGAGTTCTTAAATTGATATCTTACCTAAGCAGTAGTCCAACATTTCTAACAGAAGTTCTTCTGACATCTGAAATGTCTCAAACCTAATTCATTTCCCTCTGAAATGAACTTCTCCTTAGGATTTTCCAATCTTTATGGTTAACATTTATTTATTCTAATCACTACATTTAAAATCTGTAAATAATCTTTGAATCATTCAACTCTTTTTTCAAAATGTCATTCAAATTGCCCCTTTTTTCATTCCTACAGGTATCACCTTAGTGATTGTACTATTTCAGCATTCTTTAAACATTAATTGTATCATCATAATGAAAACTTACATTTGTATAACAGTTTGACACTTTCAAAGCAAACCCTTGCAATATATTTAATCCTCAAAACTGCCTACTTCAGAGAGAAAGAAACCTAGGTTTAGGACTGCCCAATATCACACTCACACAATAATGCTAGCCTTCTGAACCCAGAACTAGAAAATTGTGCTCCAAACCACAACTGCCATTTCCTTTAACAGCAACCAAGTGCCTGCTGTATAAATTTCTGACTCCTGAGTCTGCTATTCAAGGCCCTCCAGCAGCATTTCCCCGTGCTCCCCTATATGGACTTTAAGCTTCAGCTAAAAAGACTATTCCATGTTCTCCTAGTCTTTGCTTTCTCACTTTTGTGCATGCTATTTATTTTATACAGTGACAACTGTGAGAGCCAGAACTCAATGGGACTGCCTTGTTTTTCCTGGTCTCACAATTTTCCACCTTTGACAGAGTGCAATCTTAGCACTTTTCTATCCTCTCTATTAGTGGAAAATATTTGAGTTTTGATGCTCACCTGACTGCTGCTGGCTCTGTGTGGAGGTGCTGGGGCCCCCATGGTCTCAGATGAAGATGAATTAAATCGTCTAGTAATCATAGTCGATACCAACTCAATTTGGTGGGGGAAAGCAAGCATTAAAAGAATTTCATCAGGAAACATCTAGCTCAGTTGGCATAACACAGTTTATAAAGACAATGCTCTACATCCTACTTTGGTGAGTAGCGTCTGGGGTCTTAAAAGCCTGTGAGCAGCCAGCCATCTAAGATACTCCACTGGTCTCACCCCTTCGGGAGCAAGGGAGAATGAAGAGAACAAGATACAAGGAAAAGATTCGTCCAAAAGACTAATACACCACAGCTACCACAGCCTCCACCAGACTGAGTCCGGTGCAGCTAATGGTGCCTGGCTACCACCACTGACTGCTGTGACCAGGATCACAACAGAGGGTTCTGGACAGAGCTGGAGAAGGATGTAGAACAAAATTCTAACACACACAAAAAAGACCAGACTTACTGGCCTGAAGGAGACTGGAGAAACCCCGAGAGTATGGCCCCCAGACACCCTTTTAGCTCAGTGGTGAAGTCACTTCCAAGGTTTACCGTTCAGCCGGGGATTGGACAGCCTCATAAAATAAAACGGAACTAATGAGGCACAGCAGTCCAGGGACAAGGACTAGAAGGCAGAAGGGGACAGGAAAGCTGATGATAGGGAACCCAAGGTCGAGTAAGGACAATGTTGACATGTAGTGGGGTTGTTAACCATTGTCACAGGGCAACATGTACTGTTTAATGAGAAACGATTTTGTTCTGTAAACCATCTAAAGTGAGAATAGCAGCACAACTGGAAGAACATAATCGATATCACTGAACTGTGCATGTAGAAATTTTTGAAATGGTGTATCTTTGACTATGTATATTTTCACCAAAAAAAAAAAAAAAAACTGTCTAGAAGGG